CAGAGGCCCCTCCCCTGGGTGCTCACGCGCCTTCCTGTGCGGGCACCGCCCCAGAGCCTGGCGTCCCTTCCCCCGTCGGGAGCACACTGGTCCCCTGGAGGACGTGCCGCCCCGTGACCTCCCTCAGCCTTAATTGCCCCTGAGGCCCCTCCCCAAATACGGGTCCCTGGGGGTTAGAGCTCAACTCGTGAACTCTGGGGGCGCGACTCAGTCCAGACCGTCCCAACCCTAATGCAGGTTCCCTGAGCTCGGGGTCTTTGTCTCCGCTCACTCCAGGCCCCAGCACCTGCAGGGGGAAAGGCAGCCCTGGCACTGAGAGCCGGCCTGGCCCACCAGCCCCTCGGTGCCCTGCCGGTGAGCGTCGCCCACATCCCAGAACTCCCAGGTCCGCAGGGACCCGCTGAGAGTGGGTCTGACCCCAGCGAGACACACACCCGCCCTGGCCCCCAGCAAGCCCCGCCCAGCTGGGTCAGGGGCCGCTGCCCCTCCAGCCCCCCGGTCATCTCGCTTCATTCTTCTGCCCCTGACGGGTCGCGCCAGGTGCCCCGGTGTGACGCTGCCGCCCAGACAGCACCCGATCCGGAGCACAGCCCACTCCCCCACACCCCAATCCCCGGCACAGCCCGCCCCGCAACCATCCTCCCTGGGCGTCACTGCGACCCCGCGTCCACACAGGGGTTCCCTCTCCCCGTGAGGACACTCGGCCCGGCTTCCTGCATGCGGGGCCTGCCCGGCCCTGGCTGCGGGCTCCTCCCTCGGGCTGCGAGGTGGACACAGCTCCCTCCTGCAGGTGCCCCTGGGGAGGACGGAGAAGGCCAGAAACCACTTTCACTCTGGACTTACTCACTCTGTGCCCTTCGAGGTTTCGGGGCGGCAGGTTTCCCTTTTACAGGACCCGGCTCGTCCAGGGCCGTGTGAACATCCACTGCCGGTGAAGGCCCCAGGGACCCTGCGGTTTCCCCAGAGGGGAGCTGCTGGCGGCCTGGGCTCAGCCCTACCCCGCCTCCCCCCGCCCCCGGTCCCGGCCTGCAGGGCTCAGACCTGAGCCAGGCCCCCCCGAGCCCCCCAGGTCAGGTGCGTGTTCACTGCCGCCACCCTCCTTCCCAGGGGGCAAAAGGCAGACGCAGCCGGAGTCCGGCGTGGGGACAGGGTCACAAGACGTGGCCGTCCACACGCTGGTGTCATTCAGCCCTCAAAGGGAAGGCAGGCGGCGCCGACACCTGCTCCCAGCTGCAGGACCCTTGGGGACATTCTGCTCAGCGACATGAGCCAGACACAGAGGACAAGGACACTCACGGGGCCCTGGAGCAGGCACATCTAGAGACAGAAGGTAGAACGGGGTGCGGGGGCCGGGGGCATGAAGGGCTGTTGCTCAAGGGCACCGAGTTTCTCTTTGGATGAGGAGAACGTTCTGGAGACGGTGGTGGCGACGCTTCCAGAACACCGTGAGCGCTGAATCCACTGAATCGCTCACTTCTGAGCGGTTTAGACGGTGATCTTACGTTATGTGCATTTCACCACAGTTTAGACAGAATAAGTCCAGAAAGACTGTCTAACAGGACGGCAGGAGGGACCCTGGCGCTGGTGCAAACGTCTGTGTCCCGACTTGTCGGTGGGGACGTCCTTCCCCGCAGACTCACACACGCCAGACGCTGCTGCCGGGGAGCCGCGCCGTGTGAGTCCGGTTTCTGCTGGGATCGCAAGATACCTGGGACCCGGCCCTTTGGCGAGAACAGGGACCTGTTCACAGTTGTGCAGGCTGGGAATTCCGAGTCGCGGGCCGTGTCTGGTGACAGTGTCCGCGCTGTGTCATCCCTGGGAAGGGGGAGGAGAGAGAGCAGGAGGCGCTGACGTCTCAGGGCGCCACTGCTGGGGAGCCCTGTCCCCGGATGGCAGCATCAGCCCAGGCGGGGGCAGAGCCCTGGCGGCCCTGTCACCTGTCCCAGGCCCCACCTGGTGGCACTATTGCTTTGGGGCCTACGTTTCCAGAAGGCAGATCTGGGAGGACACAGTCAAACCACAGCACAGGGAAGGGGCACAGGGGACCTTGCTGCGTCGTTCCTCACACGGCCTGGGCAGCGGCTCAACAGAAACGTTCCCCTAAAAAAGCAACAAACACCAGTCGCGGCGCCGCGGCCCGAGCACAGCGCGCACGTCAGTAGCCTGCAAACGCGGGGACAAAAGCCCGAGCCAGCAGCCTTGGTGGCAGGTCACGGGTGTCGACCTCCCTGTCAGCCAGAAACAGGAAACCCCGAGGAAGGGGAACTCCGCGGGGATGGCTCCTGCCTGCCTTGCAGATCTGCGCAGAGTTTCTGTTTTAAAATGCGCAGCATGATCTGGTTTTTCCAGAATTGTCATCATGGAAAACAAAAAGGATTGCCCAACTCTGCCACGTGTGTGTAAACACGATCATCGTCAGCCAGGTGGGGTGGACAGGCCTGTAGTGGCAGCTGCTCAGCAGGCAGAGCTGGGAGGATCCCTTGAGCCCAGGTGTTCGAATCCAGCCTGGGCAACACAGCAAGACCCTTCCCTAGA